CCCGTACACTTATCTCAGGTATTAAATTCATCCATCACCCTTGAAGTAGTTCCCCTGGGAGTGAACACAACGATCCCAGCGCCGCTGCCAAGCCTGGAAGCATCCCTGGAAATCTTTCTTTGTCAGCCTGTCAAGCACCATCTGCGATTCTGCCTGAATCTCTTCTATCGTCTCAAATCTCCTCCCCTTTAGCTGAATTTTCATCTTTGGGAAGAGGAAGAAGGCACACGGCGAATAAGGAGGGTGCGGCCATTTTTAAAACGTGAATGCCACACAAAAGTTTGTGCACGACCCATTGCGGACTCCCCAAATGCTTGCTTTAGCATTTCATAGGTTTCCGTAGCCATTTTGGCGAGCCTTTGGCAAAATTTGATGCACACGCCATTCCGAAATCGCCCTCTATTGACACAGTCTGGAAACGTTCCGATCGCACCTCGTATGTAGATCTGACTGGTCCTTGGACCATACAGAATTCTGGAAGTTTACGCATGTAAATTGCTATCTGAATGCTAGGTCAGCCGACACAATTTGAGCCTTCCCTTACACCCAGGGCCACCTGAAGATCTTTTTGTTAAATTTGATATACCCCAGTGATGGTCTTGGCCTTTGTGGAAGTCATATACAACTGCATTAGTAGGATGCTGTCTCCTGGTAGTACTGACATCTTCCAGCTGTAGCTAGAGGTGGTTGCTGTTGACATCAATGACCATTCGAAGGACCCACAACCATCTTGCACGGTGCGTGAATCCTGTGTTGTCTTTGCACAAGAAGTTTCCTCTACTTTTTCAACATTCTTCGATGTTGGGATGGCATGGATTTGGCCACGTGTTATCAATTATTCTCTGTTGACTTGAATGGAACTTCTGATTCCTGCCTGTCGCCACATATTTCTGTATACAGCGCACGTTCTGTCATGAATTTTGGCTAGCTTTAACCCTCAAAGCCGAGGAACTAGATGACAGCTCATTTGTCCTGTCTGGACTCAGTCTGAACTTTGAATAATTGAATTTAATTGTGTCCTGATTTGCTGTGATATCTCGTTTGAAGCTCTTGGTAAGGAACGTGTTACCAGGGACTTTATCTTCAGGGTGAAAAGATCGAAGCTACACTAACGCTTCGTATTCGTGAGTTCTCGTGTTCGATTCTTGACGTCGACATGTGTAAGATGTTACCGCGGTTTTCCTCATTAACTCCAACGACGTTACATTAAATCCTGGTACGAATTATACCTTTTACATCTTTTCCAATTCATTATTTTAAAATAATCACTCTATTAAAAGACTCTACATTTGTCCCAATACAAGTTTAGTATTCCGCATTGTATGTGGGGTTTTTTGGACAAAATTTATGTAAAATTAGAAACTCTATTGGGTTCAGTACATAAAGCTGATAGCTCGAAAAGTGGTAATTTTGTGTTACGTACGATTATTAGCTGAATCTTATGTGTTGTTTAATTTTATCATAATGTTATAAGTGTATCTGATATGTAATTAATGCCAGGAGAATTTCCTGTAACTTAACAATTTAAGCAATATAGCATCATCGGCTTCTTATCTTAGAGACCCAGGTTTATTCGTAGTTCGGCCCATGTACGATTTATGGTGGACGTTGGTACAGAGAGAGAAGTTCTGATTTTCTTTGTCAGTTACCGTTGTGGCAATGTTCCACACTCGTTTATCATCACCTTTATCATCAGGGGATGCTACAATGGACTCATATGAGCCTGTATTGCCAAGGGATAGGTTTCACTGCAACTCATATCAGGGTATTCATTGAATTAAATTACTCAGGGTGTTACGTGCTTGAATTTATGTCGTCCAACTGTCTAATAGATTCGAATACATCTGTGTCCAGAATATACTTTCCTGTAATATACCTTCAACATATCAGTTTTTATTACAGTATTTTTTTTAAATTATTTTATCCGTGACGTAAGTTATTGCTTGTCCGAATAAATTTTGACTTTTAATTACTTTTAATGAATTAATGTAGACGGGTCATTTCCTATAAAAATTGGAAAGATTATTTGAATTTTAAATAATGATAAACATTTTTAATAGTAGTAGCTACAAACGTTAATTTTGATCTTCGATACTGAGTGCTGATGTAAAATATTTATCATAAATTGGTACGTTCTGGTTAGCTAAATAACATATAAAAATTGTTACTGAGCTTTACGAAGGAATCAGATAAAAAAACATTATGTCTGCGATAGGCTTAGAAATATTGTCAAACATAACAGTGCTCTATTTTTATCGGAATGTGATATATTGAAGGGAATTTTTATTTTCTGAAACAGGATAGAGACACACGATTTCCAATCAGGCAATTGTATCACTGGCATTTGGATTTGGCACAAAATACGTTTTTTTTTCTTTCGAAAACCACGATACAGCTTTAAGTCAGGATAACCTATCTGCAAGCCAAATGTGAGCTCGGGATTTTCAGAATACGAAAGTAGTTGTAAAACCTACTTTCTTCCTTCTGACTGCATCTGTAAGCAACATTGCTCGTCTGTGGTGTTTGTGTCTTTGTCTAACAGTCACAATTAAAATGCAACAAACAGAGCTTCGTACGTACAGCTACTTTAAGAGTTTCCGACCACTTAAAGACTTGGAAATGGGAGAAACATTTATAACAGAATAAAACGGATCTAGCTGTTGTATGTACGACCCGACGAGGCAACTTTATGGCCCTATATACCTAGGAAATGGCTCAAAGTAGATCCATCTATCCAAACTATCTGCACTTGAGGTTAGCTTAAATGTTACTTCGAATTTGTTTATGTACAGATAATTCGTAGCTGTGAATGGAAATTTTCGAAAGACAGTTATAAAATACTGATGGAATTTACAGAAAGAAACTTTCATTTGCCAAATTTACTTTTCTGAAAGGGAAAGTTAGGAAATATTTCCCTTAACAGCTCTGGTTTATAAACGTTCAATTCGTCAATGCATTTTGATGGTCGACAGTAGAGGACAGAAGACCTTCAGTGGGATAGATATTGGTCTAACATCATGGTATAAAATTCAGTTCTTACCTCAAAGAAAACTCAATGCGTCAATATTACAAAGTTCAGTTGTTTAACGCTGTTCTATTGAGAAATAACGTTACGTCAGGAAAATGCTTAATGGTCATGAAATTATCGATCTAAATAAAAATTTAAATGCCTCCAGAATTTTCGTTAAATTTATAACTTGTGAATTTTATGAAAAGTAGTTCACTCGCTCTCTCGAAATCATACATTCGGGCAGATAAACGCAGGAAGTGATTTTAATAGACGCTCCAAGTGTCGTCTGTGTACCTGTAAGTTTGTGTGTGTCCCAATTTTAACAGTTGCAAATATACAACTTTTGTTAAAACAAATTTTTTTAACGTAAACCAACAATTATAAACATGGCGGTGGCGAAAACATATGAAGTTATGTTTGGTAAATTTAACATTGAGTCTGTAGTGAAATATTATGTTCTCAAAAATAAAAAGTAACGAAAACAAATCTGTAAAATATTACGCTGCAAAGATGGATTTAAATATGCAAGGAGTAAGTTATTTTTAATTTTAAGGCACTGTTACTAATATATTTTAGACTATATTCATTGTCTGTTGGCAACTTTTATATTACCTTAAATATTACGTTTCGAAAAATGTACCTTACTTCGTCAACACGTGCTGTTTTTTGAGCTGACTGTAATAAGCCCTTCTCCCATTGGTTCCCTTACTCTCACATGCTTCCCCATTGGCCCGGCCGAAGTTCTACCTTATCCCACCATCACCCATATTTCAAGCAAGTTCTTGGCTCGTGGATTACGCATTACCCTGATAATTGAGGCAGCAGGAACCTGTGAAACGCCGATAAACTTCTGCCTGACTACAGCGTAGCATCCCAGCCTTTTTCATGGAAATATAAAATCTGACCAAATAATGTTTTGTTCAAAAAAAAACAACTTTTGTTTATTTGAAACTGTCAAATTTTTGTGACATACGTCATTTTAATACATGAATTTAATTAGTGTCTAGTAAAAGAAGCAGTGTTTATAATTTTATTCCTGTGGTTATAACACTCGTCTAATATCCGGCACGTGGACGATGAATAACGCTCCATTTTGCTTTCTTCCCTATTCCCTCCTCTTTTTTATTGCTACATTTAACGTGATGTGATGTCTACTCCACTCTGCTGTATGACATAACGGAATACATCCACCGAAGTATAATGTAATAAAACATTTGTATGCAAATGAGAGTCCACCAGGGCTGAGTAAGATTGTGATATTATAAGCGTAACAGGTTACATCAGTAATCAAATGGAGCATGAATGTTAATGAGAGTAGGAAAGTATGAGGATTTCTGAAGATTGCTGTATTCTGGATTGTTGGGATGTACCGACGTTTCAGAGGTCCTTGCTGCTTCCGTCGTCTCCCTGATGATGGAAGGCAAGCAACTGTAAATATCGGGCAAATTCTACGAGAGTACATGGTTGTTCGTTACGATACCTTTGACGATTTATAATAGTTTACCAGTTTTTAAGAATAAAAACAATTCGCCATTCGATTATTCACTTTTAACATCTTTATTTATTACTTCGATTACAGTGATTAAGAGTTATCTCTTGTCAGTTTTGATTTATGCGAATTTAAATTTTTAATCTTGTATTTGGTACTGCCTTTTATGTATATTCTGTTCATTTATGAAAAATATGAGTCCTGTGGGAGTAGATTATGGGCTGCAACTTTTGACATTTTAAGATTATACCACACCAAAATACAAAGAATTAAGACAGATAATTGAACGCTGTAACTCTGAAATAATCTCAACTGCTTGTTTACATTTTACGTTTCGTATTATCTCCTCGACAACGTCTGAAATTTTGCCACAGAATTTTGAATCACCCTGTATAATAATATAATTCTATGTCATATATAAACGAATGTGGGTTACCGTTTCCTGAATTTTTTAGTTCCAGGAGACGTGTGTCGGTTCCCTGATGAAGTTGCGTGTTTCAGGAGCTGAGCCCTCTTGAGGTGCGTTTAGAGCCGTCTGTACGCGAGATGTTGGAGGCTGTACGCGCCATGGTGTTAGCGACGCACTGGCATTCTTTCACGGTCCTGGCTGACAGCGAATCGTCCTCAGGCGTCTTGCTCCGTCGAGACCTGGCATCCATCTTGAATACCCCACCGCTAAACCCGACTTTGCTCATCCTACGGTCAGGCACTGCGGCACGACACTCAATTTTTAGGTAAAGACAAGTTCATGAATATTCTGGTATTGACACCAAGTGTTAAATTCATTCTTAATGCTTTGAAAAATGATCTGGGATTACATAGGCGCAGATGGGATGATAATATTAAAATGGCATATACCCGGAGAAACTGAGTAAAACCATGTAGAACAAAAGAGTAGAAAGTTTCTAGGCCGTATTTTGTATCTCGAAACTTCTAGATGTCTTCAGTTGACCACTTGAATATGAGTTTCATTCAAGGTCATTGATACCCAGTTAACTTATTAATTTAATTTATCTAAATTTGCATAATAGCGATAATATTAGTTTCTTTCTCCTTTGTCCTCAGGCGGCTGGCGGATATCTCGCGTTCTACGAGAGGTGTGATTGTTCTCATATGCAACTTGCAGACAGCCAGGCAGGTCACAACCGAAGCAAAACGTCTCAATATGATGAGTGGTCACTTCGTGTGGTTGTGGATTGATACTAGTGCATCTTCAACACTCGTTTCTGCAACAAACATCCAGTTCCCTACCGACAACAACAGCAGAAGCGATCCGAACACCTTCAACTCGACGTTCGATAATCCGAATGCCCCAGAACAGTCCTTGAGATCAAGACCGAGGTCCTCATCCAGTAAAAGACACGAAAGAGGGTCAAATGATGACAAAACCCAGTGGGACCCCTCATTAAGCAATAATAGTAAGGTAGTTGATGGTATATTTACCACCGGAAATCCCGAAGAAGTTGTCAGAAAGCCAAGAGATATGGATGTGACGTCAGGTTCAGCGCAAGATGTCAAAACCTTTAACGTGTTATCAACAAACTTAAGTGAAAGTGGTCAGCCGAATTTTACCGACGTCCTAAGACCGTCAGGTCACAAAGAGAATTTCATTGGTGAGCCCGATATTAACAGTAATAAAGATACGTTTACAAATTCAGCATCCAGAAAAATGGGGTTTAACGATTTGGATTTTGTTTTGAAATCAGACGAATCGGGTACGCGTAATATAAAAAACGTTATAAAGGCTAGTGATGGTGTAGAACTTTTAGGTCAGGAAAGAATAAGTGATATTGTAAATTTTAGGGATAATAAGCTAAGATCAGAGCTTGTTCAAAGTACGAGGAGTGATGGATGGGTTTATAATGAAAATATAAATGACGGAAGTGAACGTTTTAAGGTTAGGTTACCGGGTTTTAATGAACAGGATTTGGACGACGACGTGGATGAAGCACTTCCGGTAGGATTGTTAGCTTTGAGGACGCAACCTATGCGACTGGATCGCCATCTGGTGAAAGGTGCTGTTCGTCTGGTGGCAGAAACTTTGCTCGGTGTTCTCACCCGGTGTGCAGCGTGGATGCCTGCACCACCCTCGTCCGTCAACAGCTGTTGGACGACGCCATCCGAATCGTACCGAAACTTCTCAGACATGTTTGCGAGGTAAGATACTGAGTTTTGTTTTTAATTAAGTGAGTTTATTAACCGAAAATATTTTAAACATAGTACATTCGTACGCAGGAAATATATTTTTTTTCAATATATATAATTGGTGTGATGTTTATTATTTAATTACGTAATTCCAAAATTTAATTTGTGATTAAAACCTTTTGTTGTGTTGGCGCTATCTGTTCAGAATGACCTTCAACAAGATGTTTCATCATTAATTTTCAAATTTGTCGTTGAACAATTGACAAATTTGAAAGCAACTATTAAAAGATCGGAATTGAATTCACGAGGAAATTGACTGTAGACGAAATTTGATAAATCCTTGCTACCACGCAGTTTAGAATATTTCGTCTTATCGTTTGCTGTCATACATCGTAAATTTTAGAACTCTCTTAAATGTAATTTTACGTTTTGTTTTTTATTGTAAAACTAGGTGTCTCTCATTAAGGGAGGTCGTAGATGGGATGATAATATTAAAATTAATCTTACGGAAATTTGGTTTGAGGAAATTGAATAGGTTCTTCGATCTCAGGATCAGGTAATGATCATTTGAGTTTTATAAATAGGGGAAATCCATTGTTTATCTGAATTTATTAAGAAGGAAACCACTGCTTGATGTTTAACTCCCGATGTGTCTCATAATATAAATTAATTAGGAAGATAATGGGACATACTTAGGAAAGCCCAATATATTTTCTTAATTTTCTGACAAACCACAAGATAATTCCAAATTTAAATGTAGTCGACAAATACTATTATCATTTTCTCTTTCTAAATTAAAGTGTATGTATATCTGTATAGTGCAATGCTCACTGCGATAGGTGAAATCCACTACATAATTTGACATATCACAGCACATTCTAGCCGTCTTATGGGGTTACGTTGCTTAAAACCCTTTCTAAGGTAGAAACGTTTTACGAAGAATGAGGTTAGGGTACCAAAGACATACGAAAAATGATACTAATATGTTTTATTGATGATTAATAAACATGAAAGGATTCGAAATTATGTTTATTGGGACGAACATTGTCTGGGTGATTGAAAACAGAGGCAGAAATCAGGCAAAAATCATTGTTTTCCTGCTAAAATCGAAGTACACTCGTACACTCGATATGTCTCGATATCTACGTAACTACTGAGAAAGGCTGACAGATGCGATCCGTTGTTACTCCGCGCGCATGCGCAAGACCGAGTTACCTACGCCGCGATGCACATATATTACCTTAAAATTTTTTCTCAAATAGGCAAAATAATGAGATGGTTCTCTTTCATATCAACCAAAACGATATTAAAGTAAGTTATTTTTCGTTTATCTAGGCAAATGCTGAGGTAGTATCTTAAAATAGACCACTACTTTAAATCTTTATATACTCATAATTGATTAATCATCCTGTTACTTGAAGCTGTATTTTATGAAACCATAAAGATATAAATTCGACATTGAAATAGTCTTTTGTGAAGATATTCACAGACCGGTTGACTTTACGCTCGTCGGGAATAGTTCCTCGTGGCAGAAAGCCAAATCTCGTATTGATTTTCTGTGTCGTCATGTTTTTATTCATGTGCTATGTCCAGACGTGGTTTCTACGGATATTATATTTCAAGGAATATCTTTTCCCGTCTGCTTATACCATCTTGCCACCATCTCTCACGTAATAAAATTGGTATATATATATATAAAGTCAAGAATGTTATGTTAGATTCTTTTAGTTTTATTTTAGTGTTATTCTGAAAAATAAATTCAGACTCAGCGCTGATATTATACGAGTGATCTAGATTAACTCAACTACTGTTGCGTACTCACAACCTTGAAGTCAAATAGAGAATGGTATTGAATTCATACACGAATAAACCTCTAAGGTCTAAGAATAATATTCTTATTTAACCACTGAACAGTACAGAATAAAATATATTATAATAATTCAATTCATTTATTAAAGTGTTTGCCAACAGCGAGAAGGCAATAACAGGCAAACACATAATAATAATAATTTAATTCAATTAATTTATTTAAGTGCTTCAACAGCCAAATAAGGCCAAAAACAGCCAACCAATGAACAGTACACAATAAAATATATTATAATAATTCAATTCATATTAATAATAATAGTTAAAAATATTACGAATACAAAAAACAAACAAATTAAACTAAATATATAAATGTACTATATTAATAATAATAATTAAATTTATAATTGAATAATAATTCAATACAGCAAGTAAATATAAGAAATAAGGTATAAATGTTGTAAGAGATAAGAAAACAAAGCTAACCAGAACAAATAAACATTTTCGAAAAGATTGGTACATTTAGTACGCAAACCCCTGACATTTTAATAACGAGTTTTGTAATATTGCCTCTGCTATATTATTCGATATTCTGAATTAATTATTATCGTTTTGGAAAAGTTTCAGTCAGTCAGACTATTATGAATCAGACATTTATTGTATAGCACGCGACTGTAATCTTGAGACTTGAGGGGTGACGTTTCGGACTTCCTACATTCCTTGCAAGTCTCAAGATTACAGTCGCGTAATGTACTTTAAATTTGCTTGTTTTAATATACGGCAAAGAAGTTTTGAATGAATACTTCGCGTAATAGGAGCTAGTTATGAAAATACATTTAATTTCTTGTTATAAAAGGTAAGTAGTGTTGTAAAGAGATGTTTATTGCCGCTGTGTTTACTCTTTGGAAGAAGATAATTAAGCGAAACTCATAATAGAACATTTTTTTGTAAGTCGTATAAACGTCTGTAAGACATCAGATACATCAAATAGGCCGGTGGTCTTATAAAGCAAATGAATTAATTAATTTGTTTGTAGCAACCCATTTCGATTTCAAAGCAACGCAAGGTTGTCTACGAAAGCAAAGTCAAACGCAATTTTAATTATATATTCTGGGTTATTGCGCTGTGTAGTCTGGTCGATGTTAACCAACGTTTCAGAGGTCAGTTTCATATTCATCGCCCTGATGACGGAGGCAGTATGACCTCTGAAACGTTGGTTAACATCGACCAGACTACACAGCGCAATAACCCAGAAGACAGAAATCTTCATATTCACCGCTGTGAGAACCTCAAGTCTTACAATATTAAACCACTTTATTTTGTGTTTAGGTTCAGTTTTTTCAGATCTTGTTCTCTCTTCAAGTCTGCTTTTATTTTATTCCCGCTTTCCTTTGTGCAATTGTTTTCAATTTCTTTTTCTGTTTTGAATTTCTTTTTTCAACTTCGTGTATTATACATTATAACTCTTTAATCAGGCATTTCAAGTAAACCTCTAATTCTAGAAGCAGTGTATCGAAATAAATGTTGTTATTATAGATTTTTTTAAATCAAAGTAGATTTACGTAATTTGAATCTATAAAAAGAATCAAATAGTGATGTAAAACATTTCAGGTTACTGAGGTCTCATTTTAAATGTAAATAAAAAAATTTTCGTATCCTTTTAATTAATATTAAGAATAATTTGCAACACAAAGAAAAAATAGCTTTAAAATTAATTTTCATTTATCACGTCTAATTTCTATGAGCGTCTGAGTGGAGAATGTTCACAAAGTAAAAGTCAATTAGAGTTTAATCAGGCGAATGTAGGCGGTACTTAACACATCCTCTTTGGTCCATCCAACGTTCCGTTGGATTGTCATAAAGATAGACCCTGGAATCATGTTGGTAAGGGAGGGTCCGCTGTCTTGTTTTCAGTCAATTTTCTCGTCTCTATACAACTGATGAATAATGATTGTAATGGATACTTCAAGTATGTTGAGGTACTCAACACCCCTTAGAGAATTACGATCCTACACTGCCCCTGGATGGCACGCTACACCACACCAAACCAGATATATACCCCTTTGCATGTAACACTTCACAGACATTCCCGAATTTCCATTACCACATCGAAATTAATTTGAGTTGTACTAAAATCAGCTGGACCTCGGCCATTTTGTAGTGTTCTCGACGTGTAAGTTTCTGCTGTTCTTAACTGCGACCAACGCCATCTGTTAAGTGAATAGCATACTAATTGCGGGCATGTTAAATTCTAATTTCATCCTGAATACGTCTTGAAATGGATGTTATTAAAATGTGTATATATTTCCTTTGAGATATTTTGTATTTTCCTGCTACTTCAGATTAATGTTACGAAGTAAATTGTGACTGACATTTAAGAAAAGCTTTCAGCTGTGAAAATATCAGCTGCATCAAAATGTAGAAATTTTATAAAATATTTATTTCTCGAGAAGATTTTTTTTTTTTCGCATTTAGTCGCCGCAAAAATTTCATTTCATATGTGTCGAAGTTTGTTTATTTGGAAGAATGTGTGTAGTTAGTCTCGAAAAAATATATACAGTGTAGAATCTGTGTACTTTGTAACCAGTCATTCCCATGTTAATGCCATTTGTTGGCCTGAGCTTAAGACTTCCTAAAAATATTCTTACCTCATGTCTAATATGATTTTTATAGGATAGAAATGCGAACAGAAATTTAAGTAAAGCATCTACGAATTAAATTATTATAATCGCACAAAATGAAATCAATACAGTTGATGTTGTTTCAGAGCCGAGGTCGAATGTAGCGGTCTCCATAAGAGAAAATTATTGACTATATATATATTTTTTTTATTTAGTGTTCTGACCACCTCATCTTATTATTATTATTTAGTGTTCTGTCTGACGACAGGTCCATATGAACAGGATCCTTCCATCCTTTTCTCGGACTGGGACCTGTTCATATACGTTCTTGGCAGATGATCCAGAAGGGGTTTGCCATTGCCTTCTTCTGTGTGTAAATGGAGTAATTGTTGGGATGCCACAGAGAAACCGGGGAAGCCCC